ACACTGCATGGATATGTATTTACTGCATTATTTACGATTATTGCTATTATATTGTGAGTGAACTATGAAATGGAGAGATGCTCCAAGGACCTCTGGTTTACAGAGATGTATTCGTATATCTCACCCCGTGTTGTGGCGACCCCCTTTCAGGTACAAATGCTGCAGGAGCCTCTGGTGGCAAGTGACCATACTTGGACTAGATTGATACATTAGGATGTTGCATTATTTTGGGTTATGCATATCATATAGTAGTTCCATGTATAGGATTCACATTTGAAAGCCATTTGATATGTGTACATCATGTTTTATTTTGGTGGACTTAACCTATGCTCACCTCCTTTGATGCCTCTTTTGTTGATGGGAGCCAAGGATTTGATCATAGTGTTTTGTAGCTAAGTTCCATGGTTATGTATTAAAGACACTTGGATATTGTGTAATATTATACTTATTGTATATATGATGGAAGGGCATAGATGCCTATTTGATAATTGTGTGTCTTGAAATAGCTAAGAATCATGTATTAGAGTGGTGGTATAATGTCTATTAGGTGAAAGAAAACCTTTGGGGTTGAGAATCAATGTAAATTTAAGAATATTATGTCTTGTTATCCATTTTTCATATCTTATATGATATATTTGGACTCTTGTGTCTTAATGGAAGTTATAGATCTTTTTCTTAGCTTTCTAACAAGACTAAGATTGCGTCTATCGGATAAGTATAACTTAAGTTACGGGTAAAATACCAATGTAGGATGAAAACTCCAGACCTTGGCGCTACGAGTGCCAAAGTTCGCGCTATCAACGCTGGACGATGCGAGGAGGGAAGTGTTCCCACGCTACGAGCGCGGGTTTCGCGCTACCAACACGTAGCTACGATGCTCCGATTTGAGGGTGGTTTGAACCTACACGTAGCTAACGAAGAAATCTATAACATATCGAAAAATGAGGACCATAGAAATGTTATAAAATTCCTTAAGTAAACTAAAAAGTGGAGGTGTTTAGTGTTGAATAACGATAAAAATGAGTTGTTAAGCCTTGTTGGTCTAAGGGGATTACTTGGCACACTATGGTAGCAACATATGGTTTAAATAAAATTACATTAGGTGTTCCACACATAGTTAAGTTATGATTACAGTTATTGGAATTTTTATAGTTACAGAATTGATTTTAAACATACACGTTTATAAATAAAAAAGAAAAAGTTTATCTGTACTTTAATTCAATTGCTGTGATTGTAACTGCACCTAATGTCATAAGTAATGTTAACAAACTGGTTCTAGAATGGGGTGTTTTAATTCAAATGCTGTGATTGTAACTGCGCCTAATATCATACGTAATGTTAACAAACCGGTTCTAGAATGAGGTGTTACAATATTTGTATCTCACGAGTCATATATGTATTTTGGAGAGTATAAGGGATGTCTATACCTTTTATGATTATTCATATGAATATATGCTAGTGACATGTGTATATGATGTGAACTCGTGTATTCTTCTGCCAAATGATCTATAGTGTTTATGTAGTCATTTGGAGGATTGTAAATCATGTTTATGTAGTCTTATTTCGAGAGTATGTACTATTGATGCATGGACGAGGGACTTAGTCTATGATCATAGTTATTGGATATCTTTCGTGTTGTTGATGCATGTAAAGGACTTTTGATCATATGTTTTGTATTAGTTAAGTTCTCATTTATGTAGTCTATGGATATTTATGTATTTTGATACAATTCTGGTGAAAGGGCTTGTACGCCTATTGGATAGACTGAGATGATGTCAGTATCTGTTGAACTATTTATCAAGATTGAGATATCATGTGGGAAGTATCCTTAGATGTCCGAAAAACAAATGAAACTCTGTCTGTTTTGTTTGGGCGATGCTGATAGAAGATTATCACCTTGTGTGATTAACTATCATCATTGTTGTGTGAAGCCGTGTTGTTTAATTATTGGAACTTCATGGTGGTATGATATGTCTAAGCAAGATTAGATGTTTCAGCAGTTTGTACAAGTTATAATTACAATTTGAATTTTTTATAAATACAAAAAGTGTTTTAATCAGAAAATAATATGTTTTCAAAAGAGAAAAAGTTAAGCCGTATTTAATTTAACTTCAGTTATTGTAACTGCGCTTAATATCATACATAATAATAATAAATCGTTCTAGAACGGAGTGTTACAATTTATGTTTAAAGCATCCTTGCGCATTTGGTTCTTTCGTGTTTTGACATCTCTAAGACTATGTATGGAAATTGAACACCCAACATTTGTTGTTTTGGTAAATGAACACAAAATTTAGTTCATAGTCGAGCCAATTCAAATAAACATTTGATTTCACTATTATTGAGATTAGATATTAAGGTGGAGTTTCATTCACTTAATAATTATATTGTGCTTTAAGAAAATTATTAACTTTTTAAAGGCATATTACTATTTTTGTTGAGGATTATAAAATTTTATAAATTAATTAAAGTCTTTTTTCAAGCTAAAAACAATTAAAGTTTGATGTATTTGAAATAAGGGTATATATATCCCTAATATAGGAATAATAAAAACTCATAATTCTCACCATTTCATTTTTCTTCCGCTACTGTTAAATAGTAAACTTGCTTATATTCTATAATATATGGTACAGAAAAATATTTCTGTAGTTACTGCAGATAAGTTATCTGCATTTATTCTCAAAATGACGTCATTTTGAAATTGAAAGATTAAAAAATTATAATTATAAAGACTATAATAATCCTGAAATAAATTAAAATTACAAAAATACCTTGATTTTCGCATTAATACGACATCGTATTAGGCTTACTGCAGAAAAAGCCAACCCTATATAATATCCAAACAATAATATAAGAAATTTCTTTCCTTCTCTTACATTTCATCATATCGTTTTTCATTCTATTCCGTTTCATTTTATCCGTATAACTACAGTATACTATACTCTAGAATCTAGATACTCTTTTAGAAACATATACAATTCCATGATGAAAAAAAAAAAAGATAACTCAAAATCTCACATTCTAAAAACATTAATTATTACAATGATATGATACTTTCTTATTTATCAATAATATAAAAAAAGCATAAGGTAAACCAAAAATAAAATAAAAAAAATAGGCCTATACAATATCCACACTTTAAGCCCAAAATGCTATTACGTGAAGGGCGTGTTATAAAATACTATAAATCATTAAAAAAAATTCATCCAACACCTTAAGATTTTGGGTTAAAATGGTTCTTTACATGGTTTGAGAGCTTTGAGAGCCTCAGTGACCTTACCTCCCTCGTTTTCTCTTGTGAAATTTCTTAGCACAAGTAGGTGAGTCTGTTGGTATGGAGATTCTGTAACGCCTGACCGCTTCAAGAATCAATGACTATCCACACATACTAACACGAGACTTTTCAGTGTGCTTTTTCCTTACTCGCACACTTTCCGGGGAAACTTCCCAGGAGGTCACCCATTCCAGAATTGCTCCAAGTCAAGCACGCTTAACTGTGGAGTTCTTCCGATCCGGGCTATCGAAAAGCAGATGCATCTTGTTAGTATAGGTAGTACCAATTAATTCTTATAAGCCATTCCCAACTGTACCGTCCCATACCAGCACAATCTCTGGAATCCCTCTCTTTCGGGTGTTGATTCGATTCATTCATGTACCCCCGTCGCTGGAAGCCTGCTAAGAGCCGCTCCTTGTCCATGCCCTTTCGCACTGGCGATCACTCCCCGCCCTCGTCAGCGCCCGGGATGTTACAGATTCTTTTTGAATTGCTGGGAAAGTGGGATAGGAATTTTTTTTTAATTTTTTTTTACCATGTTTAGTATGAGTAAAAGTAAAAAAAAAATCCTAGGATACCTTTTTCCCATCATTCTCGTTTTTAATTACACATGGGAAAAAAATAATCTCATCCCACTTATGGTATTATTTTTTCCAACGAACTGGGGAATGCAATTTCACGTTTCGAGAGAAAAATGCCCTTATACAATATATCAGCAAATGTGTAAAAATGAGTAATTTTGTCGTTTCGGTTCAGATTTCCATTAATATTTTACAATCAAGCAAACATAGCATCAGTAAAATAAACTCAACTTTTTCGGAAAAAAATTGACCTACCGAACACCTTTTCGTAACTTACCTAGAAAAAAAAATTTCCCACCATCATTTTAGAATTTTTTTTTCTTTTCTCGCAAAAATAATATCTTCTCTACCAAATGAGCTTGTTATTATAACCTTACCCATCATCAACTTAAGATTTTCGATGAAATGGTTGACGACTTGGAATCTCAAATTTTAGATGTTTATTATATTACCATGATCCTCTCGTTCCGACTGTATGTTGTTTGTATAGAATAATAGGTTCGAAGATAAAGATGAATGACGTTGTGAAGATTGAAATTTATGAATCTTTTTTTTGTTTTTTGTTTTTTTGGCTGACTTTACTAGTGGTTGTATTGTAATATTAATCTTTTGATAATTTATTTGTTGATACTAAGTGAAAAAACTTGGGTTTTGGATATGGGAATTGTTTTTGTTATGTAACATAACATAAAAGCAAACTTCTTACTCTCACAAAAGTGAAGAGAGAGGAGAGAGAATAGAAAAAAGAGAAAAGTTTAGAGTGGGTCCCATATAAAATTTGTGTGCCTAGAAAGATGATTTTATGTTATGTAACATAATAAAAATAATCCCCTTTGCATATGTAGGCTTTTATCGCTCTTGATTGAGCTCACTCTGCTTTCTTTTATGGGGTTAACCTTCTTGTGAAGATTTTTACTTTAGCATTTTGGAGATAGGGATTGAAAAGAAAAATCTGAGTTTCTGCTTAGGATTTCACTGCACTGAGCATATTGTATATTAATTTCTCCGCTTCTATCCTTCTGCTTATTCAAGCATCATTACAAAATAAAATAAGAGAATCATATAATACTGATATTCTCTGCATTTTGCCAACAATTAACATCCATTTGATCCATAGAAACTTGCTATGAATTCTTTATCAAGTTTTAATACATATAGTTGCAAACAATGCAACGAACAGCTATTAATCTTGCCATGACACTTCCCTCTTCAATATCTAGCTCTCTGCTCTTCTTGTTCCATAAATGAAGTGCATATGTGTCCCCTTCATATAGTAATTTAACTAGTGTATTTTCCACCCACATTGATTCAAAATTCGTTTTAGGCTTCTTGAAAAGCCCTCCAATCTTGATCCAATCAACAGGATAGAAAGCCTTAGGTGGCAAAATTGTGATGTTGTATCCTGGTGTGTTGCCAACTCTCTCTATAACTCTTGAAACCAAGTAAGGTCCATTGTAACCCCATCTATTCCCATCAAAAGTTGATGAAAATTCTTGTAGTAAGTCCCAAAGGATTGGATGATTGATGTCAAATATCATAACTGCACCATTTAACCTTAACCATTTCTTGGTCACTGGGTCAGCACTTTGTGCTCCAACTGTGTTCCTGAACATTGAGAAATCCTTCATAATTATCAAATCTGTATCCAAATAAACACCACCATACTTATACAACATGGCTAGCCTTATCAGGTTGGAAAGGTTCTGAGTCAATGGAATGTATCCAGGGTCTTTGTTACCACTTTTTATCTTTTCAAGCCAAGCTTCAGCTGGGGTGTTCTTGACCAGGAATGGCAAATCAGGAGTGATTGCTAAAACTTTGAACCCTCTATCAAGCAGTGGCTTCAAGATTCTATACCCATGTTTAGAATCCATTGATCTTGATATAATCAACAAGCATACTTGAGGTTGGACTTTGAAAAGTGTATCCATTGTTAGGAACTCTCTTTTGCCAAAATACTTTGCTGGTGATAACCATATGATGTGGAACAATGTTGAGCAATCTTGGTTGAGAAAGTTTAAGACTCTATAATGAAATGAAGGTGTTAAGTTGCTTGGTTTAAGTATCTCAAGGTTTGGTAGCTGTGTCCTAAACCATGTCATTCTTTCTTCCTTTGATGCTTGAGCTGGTGGAATAAGAGGATCTTCATTTTCTGCATCAGTCTCTTCAGTACTCTCTTGAATGGAAAGCTGAGGATTTATGTCACTAGCTTTAGGAGTTTCTTGTTGGTTAAGAATTTGATGACTTGTCAAACCAAATGAAAGGGTAGAAGAATTAGACATGGTATTTAGACCAGAGATGAGAAGGAACATGGCAACAAATATGATGGCATAGAAGATAATAGATGATTTGGTAGTGTGGATTTTTAGCCAGTGATCATGGATCTTCGGAGACATTTTCTCATCATCAGCCATTGTAGTGATAGAGGGGGGTAGTTTCTATGGTCTATAGATAATGCAAAATTTGTGTAATGATATGAAAAGCCTTAAGAAAGAATTTGAAAATAAGGTATGCTTTTGAGTGGAGCTATATTTGGGCATCACACAAATTTAAATATTGGTGTTGGTACTTGGTGGGGATCCAATGGAGAAACTAGTTAAAATGTCCTAGAAAATTTCTTAAGTATACATCACTACAGTGTGGTCCACCAGCCTCCTTTCAATAACATAGGAAATGGTGATATGTGTAAAAACCTTTCTGTTATTCTTCTCGTTCTATATATGTTGTTTTTAGAGCTTTTAAGATTGCCAACTTATCACCCTTTACATTAATGCCTTAATTAACTAAGATCATGGTTGATGATAACATCATTTATTTGGATGTAAAAGCATTTATTACATCAAATCAGAAAAATAATTCAGGTGCACTGAGATGTGATCATCCGTTTCCATGTGTGAAGAGGCTAATCTTTCCTTCCATCATTCTTTAAACATTGTATTTACTCCATGACAATGAACATATAATTAAGTTTGTACATAATTTTTGCCATACCAAACAAGAAAAAACACATTTTAATGCATTTTTTCTACCATTTATATTCCAAACAAATAAGGTGTAAGCATGATGTAATTATTTGAAGGTGCAAATAGCATTTCTCTTTTGATAATATATTGATACCGGTTTCACACTTGAAAGTGAAGAGTGGAAATTTATATTAATGTAGACTCCATTTGTTTGTTTGGATAATCTTCTCCAACAAAATAACGTTTTTCAGAAAATGACTTTTTTGGGTATATTTTTTTGGGATAAAACTGTTTTCTGTGTCCATTAACAATTAGATGCACAGAAATTAAAGGTTAAAATTTGATATAATACTTGTTATTCGATGTATAATACTATCCCTATATATATATATATAAGATTCTATTTTCTTATATTGTTGGAGATAGTTATCTTCTACTATAGACATATGATGTGGTAGGGCCCATCACCTATTTAAAAAAGAAAAGAAAAAGAAAAATAGTAACACAATTTTTAATTTGAAAACAACAAAGATGCACCCTTAAAATTTCGCAACAATAAATAAGAAAATATAAAAAAATCAAACAATCATATAGAATCAGATTTACAAGGTTGTAGGGGAAGGAGCCAATAGCCACCATCTTTGGCCAGTAACACCAGTGGCCTTGAGAGAAGAGAAGAAGACTGTAGTGGAGGAAGGAGGAGGAGCTACGGCAGCATGAAGAAATTTCGACATAAAAGAATTAAAATTTAAAGCATGAAGATAATGAGGTTGTGAAGATTGAAATTGATGAGTCTCTATTTTCTTGCTGATTTTATTAGTTGGTATAATTTTAATCTTTTGATAACGTTTTTATTAATATTATTTTACTATCGAAGTATAGATTCCATTTTACCCAAAAAAAATAAAAAAATATGGATTCCATTATGACATGTAAAGTTTGGGTTTTGGATATATTTAGGCTTTTCATTTGTCTTAATTGAGTTCAATCTGATTTTTTTTTTTCTGGTGTTGATCTTATATTGAAGATTTTTGGTTAAGCTTTTTGAAGATGAGGATGGGAAAATGTAATGTGTGGAGAGAGAAAAAACATAGAGATGAAGAGGATAGAAATGGTGAGAAGCAAAAATGAATTACTCTTCTTCTCAGTGAATGTATGCATATATGGAGAGTTGCAGTATTTAACAACTCTGTCATAAAAGACAACACTCGTGGCATAACTGACAAACTGCCATAACTAACTCAAGCTAACTCATTCCATGACAACCCTTTTCTTATTGCATTTGTATTAACCATGAGTTTTACCTTCATTATGACATATTGACATGTTTCATTCTAATTCATTCGTTAGTGTTTTTTTTACCCGTGTAATTGGTTCATAAGTTATGCATCAATTTGGGAATGTTTGGGAGTTTTGATCACTCAACCCTGATTTTTACTATATGCAATGGACTTTGTAAGAATAATCACTGAGAGTGTAGTTATTTTCATCTATTATATGCAATATATTGCAGTGCATGATGCAAATCTCTGAATGAAATGTTACTATCACTAAGTAGTTGGTATATGAATTTCTTGGTGTAGCATCTCAATGGAAGGAGTCGTTAGAGCTAACTTGTATGATCTTGGGATATTTATTTTGTCCTAGTGAATCTCTACTTAGGTGGGGTCATCCTTCAATTGGAAAACAAGTTAACCTCATCCTGGTTTATATTGTAGTTTTTTTTTATGCTTTTGGTGGAGACCATGTGCCCTGCATTTGTTTAGGAGCATAAGTAGCAACTTTCTTATGCCATTTGTCCTCTTGAAATAAACTGATTTATATATACTATGTGGGTGGATTTGGATCTTTTTTTGAGTGAGCCTAAATTGTTTTAGGGAATGTTTGTTAGCATTTGGGAGGATTTGTTCTCCCTTCAAACATACATCATCATCCCAACTAGTAATTCTTCAGTGTCCAATAAGGGGTTTATGTTCAATCTTGTCTTGTTCTATGTCATATAGTGCACCAAATGTCAACAAATGCAGCCGGCTTCGTTATTATTTTTCTAATGGTATTGGCCTTCTTAGTTTTGTCCATTGTATTAACTCTTCTCCATTAAATTGGAAGAACTGTGTCTTGCAAATTTATTTTACATCATACGTTATTCTTGGAATACTTTTAGACAACATGTTATCTGAAATTACTGAGGAGACAGATGAAGAGCCCCACTGGTTTATAAACACAGAAGATCAGAAGGAAAAGATCAGGAAGATTATACAGCACCAAAAATCTCTATATTGGTCATCATCATCTTTTTCATCTTCAGCTGCATCCTGTTCATCCTTCTCCTCATTCCATAAATCCAGTAGTTTGATGGAGTTGATGAAAGGAGGAAGCACATCTTTGAGGAGATTATTTGACATGGAGCATACAAGTTTGGCAACCCATTTTGACAATTATAGTGGCTCACCTATGATTAAGCCTATATCTTTGTGGGACAGTGATTCAGAGCGTGAATTTCAGGATCCCTGGGCCTTGATCAAGCAGATTGGATCCACCCCTTTTGGTGGAACTGATAGAGTGAGTGAGTTAGCCTCAAAGGGTAGTTACATGGATGGAGATTTTGGCTCTCAGAATAGAAATGAGAAAACTGGCAAACGCAAATTGACTAGGAAAAGGTCTTTTAGGAGATTGCCAGGATTTGGTTTGTGGAAATGTGGAAGATTTAGATTCCCATTGAGATTTAGAAGGCTTAAAATTAGGATTTGGGGTAGAAAATTCAGATAGGGCCTTCCAATTGGCTATGGATTATGAACATCATAGGAATGATCTAGTGGATAAACTGATGTTTTGAAAGAGAATTTCTTCACAACTTGCTGAGCTGTGTGATTTACTTCAAATGTTCCTATACATTTAGAAGAACAACCAAAAAACTGGTTGTGGAGAAAAAATGTCCACAATTTTCACCTAAGAACTAGAGTGTTGCAAATAACACAATGATCTGATATGAGTCTTGCTATGACACTTCCTTGTTGAATAATCAATCCGCTACTGTCGAGGTCGCTAGCTGACGATGTCATTCCCACCAGCTTCAATGACATGTTTAGTGTAACATCCCCAGCCTCGAGCTGGTTCAATTAACATACATATGATACTTAACAGAAACAGCGGAAGACTTAAACTTATGAAAATACGAGCTAACTTTTTCTTTTTCTCACTAGGCGTAAACGAAAATCGGACAGAGTAACCTCTGTAAGTCGGACAAATGGGGATTTTTCAATCCCACTCTCAAGAGTTCCTGGTAAACAGTTTAAACTATATATATATCCAGAAGTACTAGTCATGCAAATATACTCAGATACCTATCTATGGGCGCATGCAGAACTTGGCTCCGTGCCACTAATCTAATAGCATGCAATCCAATACATAACATAACTGAATACTACATAGTCATATCAACATGCCTGAATACATAAATGTACATGCATCGAATATGAACACTATACAACAATACATCATTTCCAAAAATACGTCTAAAATAAATAGTAGCCTCCAGCCACCCAGAACTCCACATCCTCACACTAGTACCTCTAGCCACGGTTTGTGTCTTTGTCCCATGAGGCTCTTCAATTAACTGTGTTCCTGAAATAATATCCCCAAACGGGATTAGAGACGAATCTCTAGTAAACTCCAGGTTTATGGAAAACTCTCCATACCCTGGGCTCACTTCCTGCATGACAGTCAGATACATAATATACAAAACATCATATAAGCAATTATCATAACTATACAAAGCATATATACATATCTTTTCAAAGACATACGCAGTCATTCCCAAGGGATGACTTAAGCAGAAATCAATGTACGTAACAAATATCATTTACAAAAATCATCACAATACTCACATCAGAACAAAACGTGTTATATCAGAGACGTATGCAATCGTTCCCAAGGGATGACCGCAATCGGAAATCAACGTACGTAACAAATATCATTTACAAAATCATCATACATATCACATAAAACATGTCATATAATCAATTATCATAACTAAACAAAACATATACACATATCTTATCAGAGACGTACGCAGTCGTTCCCAAGGGAGGACCCCAAGCGGAACCTAAACATATCAGAGGCATACGCAGTCATACCCAAGGGAGGACCCCAAGCGAAAATCAACGCATGTGTTCCCAAGGGAGGACCCCAAGCGGAAACAAAACATATCAGAGGCGTACACAGTCATTCCCAAGGGAGGGCCCCAAGCGAAAATCAACGCACGTATTCCCAAGGGAGGACCCCAAGCGGAACCAAAACATATCAGAGGCGTACACCGTCAATCTCAGGGGAACCCAAGAAGACATCAGTGTACCATACAAGTCAATTACAACCAAAGATCAATACAGAAATTATATCAGAACAAGTCATATAACAAATTTATACACAGTCAATCCCAGGGGAGGACCCCA